GATCAGCATATTAAGAATCATTTGGCTTTGAAATAGTTTATTGTCTTTTTGCTTTTCAGAACCTCACGATCAAAACAAAATAGGCGTTGATGGGATCCAGCAGTTCTGCGATGACCTGGGTCTGAATCCTGCCAGCATGAGCGTCCTTCTGATAGCCTGGAAGTTCAGGGCAGCAACGCAGTGCGAATTCTCCAAACAGGAGTTCATAGATGGCATGACGGATCTGGGGTGAGAATATATTATCGTCTTTGCTGTAAGCGTTTTTCCATGTTTTGATCTTTCAACCAGGAGACGCTGAAAACGAGGATTTTGTTTTGTGCTTTCTAAGGTGCGACAGCATCGAGAAGCTAAAATGCCAGCTGCCGAAGATGGAGCAAGAATTAAAGGATCACGGGAAATTTAAAGGCTTTTACCAGTTTACGTTTGATTTCGCAAAGAATCCGGGTCAGAAGGGTTTGGGTAAGAGTCCTTTACTTCCCAGCATGCAATGCTGATCAGGGTGAATTCATTCTGACCTGCTTACTGTTTCCGTTTGTCTTTCTTATCGCAGATCTGGAAATGGCGATCGCATACTGGAATTTAGTCCTGGCTGGGAGATTCAAGTTCCTGGATTTGTGGAACCAGTTTTTACTCGTAAGCTGACACTGACTTCTTTTTATTTGGATTTTGTGTTAGCCTATATATATATATATATATACATTGATACTTGATGCGAAACCTCCTTGCTCTACTCCTTGCATTTATTGTTTAAAAGCAGTTATTCAAGACATCTCACCTAGGGTGTAACTTTGTAACCCCACACTGATCCTCAGGCGCCACACAATGGCAGCCCACTGATCCCATTGGGATGGGGATTAAATGCAGGGGATGAATTTTTCCATTGTGAGATCAATAAAAGTTCAATTATCAAAACTATATATATTCCTCACTCCTACAAATATACAACATACTTTTTATCAAGATAAAGTATTTTAGCCTCTGTAATAGTGTGTGTAGTGTTTTGTAGTTTTATTGATATATATATAAAATAAATACTTTGCTACTGTACTTAAGTACGCTTTTTAGGTATCTATACTTTACTCCATTACTTATTTTTCTTCCCACTTCTGACTTCTACTCATTACTCATTACACAAGTATCTGTACTTTCTATTTCTTGCATGTTTTAAACAAACGTCACTCGTTACTCTTGGCTTCGGTTTAATGTTTATAAATATTTATTTCCCGTCATGTGCTCCATCCAATTCAGATCATTGGCTCCACCCACATCTAGTGAAAACTAGTGTGATTGGATGAGTCATAGAACGCAAACACTCATTGGTTAGCTAAAGGAAATCATCAGAAGCAAGCAGGTGTTCTTCAAACTGCTAACGTGAATTGTCTATGCCATGCTACAATGTGGGATTCAGAAAAAGCACTCAGATTTCAGTTTCCGAAAACTTACAATTCAGCAACAGAGAT